GTGTGTGTGTGTGTGTGTGTGTGTGTTGGGGTGGGGGTGTTACAGAAAACCTGCCCAATTTCACAAAAGGTTTACTTTGTGTATGTTCACAAAGACAGGTGTTTTTTGTACATATTGTTTCAATTTGATATTATATTCACAAGATACAATTGCTACAGCGTTTAACCTCATTTTTTTATTATTATTATAGGTCAAAATGTCTTAAATCATTTGACTTTTACAATATTTTAWATGAGCAATCTTTACATTCAGATCACCTGTTGAATAACTTGACCAGGAAACTAAAACAGCAGAAAGTTGAAGGTTTTAGTATCTTAACTACTGGGATTAAATGTGCTCATTATCTTTAAGATGGATCAAAAAGGAAAAAAAATACAAAGTAAGAAACTAAATCCGCACTCTTTTTTTTCCTCAYACTGATGACTGTGTCTTTACATTAAAAAAAAAAAACGTAAGCAAAATCTGTGAACAGCTGCAAACTGTGTTTGTTTACCTCCCAAAACAGCCGAAGTGACYGAAAAAAGGTCAMCARTGGCGACGTCAATAAAAGAGATGTTTGGGATGTGTTGCATTTCTGCYCAGATTYRTTTATTATGTAGAAAGGGTTTTRTTTACATCGAGTGCGTACCTGCATTTCAGTTTTGCGCATCAATATTGTTAGAAAACTATTAAATTATGTCAAACTGCCTAATTTCTAAAGTTTCGATGAACGTTTTTTATATGTCCTCATATGATAAGGTGCCATCGTCCWTTCATTTGTCTGTGGACAATTTCCAAGCACTAACTTGATAACTGGTAACCACAGAAATATCACACTGCGCAACTGGGCACTTCATGGGTCAAGGAAGATCCCTGTTGATTTCAAGGACATGGGTCAAGGGTCAAGATCACAGGTGACCTCTTTGTTAAAAACCTGTCTCTCACCATCTTGACATTCAAGTAACGCAACCCCGCATCCCTAAAACAGGATACAATAAGATKTCTATGGTGTAAATCCACAAATATAGGATAGAAATGTTATTATAGGCTCCTTTGTTTATGAAGACCACTTCCACCTTAGAGATCTTGAGTGGTCGTCTAATTATAAAAATAGTTTGAATAATAATCAACAGGTAAGTTCTGCACATTTCAGTAGTCTCATGTTCATGTTGATTAATTAAATATACACCAAGGACATTATCAGTGAACTTTTGCTCGACTTGAGTTTGAGTGTAATAAGAGACAGTTATTAATTTCACTACCTTTATTTGATCAATTAAAATCATCTATTTGATTCTGATTTGCTTCATTTTGAGACCCTTCAGGTCAGCTGTCTGCACCCAGCCTGAGGACACTCTGCAGCAGCGCTCTACCTGCTTTTAAAACGCTCCTCGTGCGCGTCACTCACGCGCGGGATGATCCAATCGCGAGGCACGTGAAGCCCGTGACTCCTCCCCCTGTGTATAATTGAAGTTTCTTTAGTTTCTTCCRCGGAGCTTCGGCTCAGTGTTTGTCCGGTTCGCGGAGGGATTAAATTGGCCGCGCGCGCACACACATTTTTTATACGCGCGCGAGACGGGAGGCAGCTGGACAGCGAAGATGATGATGATGATGATGATGTTTTCCGGGAGCTTGAACGCACTGACCCTGTTGTTGTGGATTACGGCCGCGACGGGTCCGGGAAGTGTCTCCGGCGCGAGGAGGCAGGAGGAGTCCTTCTTCACCGGCAGCGTCTACCGAGCGAGGTGCGCCTCGAGGTGCCTCAGCCTCCACATCACCCGCATCTCTGCCTTCTTCAAGCACTCCCAGGTACGTGGAGAACCAGGCGGGGTGAGATCAAAGAGCCCCGCGGTGGTGAATAAAGCCGCACGAGCGTTTTTTAAAAAGCTTAATCTGTTGTCACAAGAGCAGGTCACTGATGGGGAAAAGTGTCACTAAAATCTCACCAGCAGAGTGAAAAAGGTTGTAAAGTTGTTGCCATAAATCCCGACAAAAAAAGTGACCCTCTCTGAAGCATCTCCTAATTAACACGTTTTCTGTTTTTTCAGACTTGGAGATGATTAATTGCTCCAAGTGGAGCCAGTTTCCATTCATTACTTGCTAATTAGAAAATGAGAGATCACTTTCTTTGTCTAGGTTACTTTAACCACTTTTCCCTTACCTTTTGTTTGTTTATTAGGGCTTTTATAGCATGTTGTTTTGCAGACCTTGCTGGCTTGGAGCCACTCTAAATTAGCAGTGTTTTGTCACTAGTTGTGTTTTTTTTTTCCACCCTTCATTGAACCTGAATGTTTTCTCCCAGGACCCCAATGGGAAAGAAACTGGACAACGATCCCTCTTTATCTGCTCCTTCTTTTCTCCAGCTCTCTATCTGTCTTTTACACCAGTGGTTCCCAAACTTTTTATCTTCTGACCCAGAAAATATCCATGGCAAAAACTTGTGACCCCAAATATTACTGGTCTGAGTACGTGAACTTTGTTAATAACCCTAAAAA